GGGCGGGGCGGGGCGGGGCGGGGCGGCGTGTGCGTAGGCGGGAATGGGCCACTGTGAGCAGGGAACTGGCGCAGCAGAGAGCGGAGCAGCGCGCTGGGCTGTGTGGGATGGATAATCACTCTTGCTCTTAGCTCAGACCGGAGCGGCGTACGGTGGCACTGCCTACCGTCTGCTCAGTGCAGGGCACACGACCTCTCTGCGAGTAGGCAACCTGGCCACACGCCTGCAGCGCACGGTGCCATGTTGCCTGCTGCTCGCCCTTGGCGCTTCTCAAGGCCCGTGGGAGGAAAATGTAAATTCAGGACGTCCAGCGGCAAACTCATTCGCCTGAACTACATAACGTGGTCACCCTCCTACACAGCATCGTGTGGCTTTACACACCATGCAGCTACCCGGCGGACCAGAAGGGTGTCCTTTAAGTCCAGGGCGACTTAGTAGCCTACCTGCTGGGGTTTACAGTACTAAAGGCGAGCAGCACCGGTCAGGGTGCGAGTGGCTGTGGGCGGGCGCTCTTCGGGGGTGGCGAGGGGGCGGAGGGATGGGTCGGGCCGAGCGAGGCGAGGGGGCGTCACTGGACCGTGCCCAACGGCCCGCCCCCGGCCCGCCCCCGGCCCGCCCCGGCACTGGCACTGCCCGCCAGCACGACATGAAATATATGATCTCGTCATTAAATTCAACTGGCATGACCTGGGACGCGTGCGGGGGAGGCCGCCGGGGGCCCCAGCAGCACGCGCCTTGTTCGGAGGCGGCCGAGCAGCGATGCCGTCCAGGTTAGGGATTTTAATTTTCCGGAAAAGTATTTTGGGGGAACGTTAACAGAAATATTTTTACTTCAAAATTCTCTTAATTTTTTCCTAGAAAGTTTAATTTTTTCAAACTTTCTGGAAATATTTCCACTTTTTCCTTATTTTTTCCAGGAAAAAAGTTGGACTTGAAAATCCCTAGTCCAGGAGGCCCAGCCAGGTAGTGTAGATATGCAAACATGCGCTACCATTTATTTTTCTTCAGCTTTCTCCCTCATGCCTCGCCTCTCTCCGTTTCCTCCCCCAGGCTCTCTAGTTTCTCTCTTTGTGAACCTCTCTTCCCTTTTCTTATCCACTTTTACGCACTAACCGCAGCTCTCGAGACTGCAACTGTCTAAAAAAAAGTGGTCGCTTGTTTCTGCTTTCTCCTTCTCTCCCTCTCTCACCCTCCACCGCGACGTGACGCCCCTGAATTGTTGACGAGTTCAACAGCTCAAACGCGGGGATGACACTATCTGATCGCAGGGCTATA